TCTGGATTGGCCTCGGGCCGGATAGTTTTAAAATGGAATTTCCGTCTGGTTAGTGGGGACACTTGTGCAAAGAATCTGGGGATAATCTTGCAACCCCTCAATGTGGTTGAGAATTCCCCACTCCTTCACGAGTCGCTTTCGGAAGTGGAAATCGGCACAAGAACTGTCGCCTCAGTACGATTACGCATGCTGCTTCGTACTTGGTATTAGATCATAACATTCCAACCTCTCGTTCTAGTAATTTGGAAGGCTCCGAAGCCAAGTCGGAATATGGAAACCGAAACCAAAGACTCGACGATTTGCGAAAACACTAACGCCGACTTTGGGATAATTCTTGGGTTCCAAACAAGGTGCACGTCCCTCACCTCCTTATAGCCCTTCAAACTCTCCCCATTACCCAGCGTTTAGCCCTTTGCCCATCAATAACGCTGAGTCAGGACTATAGCTAATGTTTTTGTCACTTCTTCTGTCCATGTGTTCGCTTTACTAGAAACGCCCTAACGGCCATAATACCGTACCCGCGTTTACGCATCCTTTCAGTTTATCGTGATTTCATTAAGAGAAACGCGAAAAATGAATCACCTCGCGTTCCCTGCAATACATAATTTCTGGCCATGGTCGTTGGGCGTGGTCGCCGAAGTTCTCAATGAGTCGTCGCGTACGTTCACAACGTATCTCGTCCAGAATCTGCAGTAGTAAATTGATATTTCACCATCGTAAGGTCATATCCGACAAAAGTCAGTGTGACCTGACCTTCAACTTGCTAAAGAACTTGAAATAGAGTAGACAATCGGAGAAAGTGTAAACGTTCTCTCAAAAGTAATTACAACGCTGCTGTACAACCGCACTTTTTGGGATGGAGCGCCAAGCATTGTGAGTATGATTTTGATTTGACCGGAAACACTGCGGCCCGGGAACAGTTCACGTCTCAGGATCATCTCGGCGAATATACATCCAACAGCCCACATGTCCACTGCCGTCGAGTGCTCTGGCATCACGTACAGTAGTTCCGGGGCTCTGAAGAACAACAACTTTTAGTAGTGATGTCCAAGCAAATAAGATGCGACTGCCTTTGGCACTATAGTACCATAAGAAGCTTAAAACTTGGTGCCCAATTACTATGGAGTGAGCCACGCATCCGCCGTCAGTGCTCGAAAGCAAAACAGAGAGAAGCACACTAAGGGAGGAAGTTTATACCACCACGGTTTTTACCCCGCTTCAGGGTGAATATCGGTCGAGGATTCCTCAACGGCACGTCGAGGATTTTCGCCTGATCAGTTACGTCTCCCGCGCGGACATTCACACTCGCCATGCGCGAGCCGTCTGTGCTCTCCGCGCGTACGTTCACTCTCGGCACTACTCTCGCACAGTACAGAGCCATGGTCGAGGATTCCTCGACCGTTATTCACCCTGCACTAGTGCTACAGATTTCGGAGAGTACTCCACAAGAGGTAGCGGTAGAAGAGGTAACAGTAAGTTGGGCTTTATCAACTTCACTATTTACCACTAGTCCATTTTGAAAAAAATTATGTCAATAGTGGCCTCAAATTCCGTTTTATACTTGCTTTCTGACGGTATTCTGAATTTCGCCCTCAAAAATCAATGCTTTGAGGAAAGAGAGACGTGGGCACCTCCCCCCCCCCTTCCACGCTCATGCACCACTTTCATATTTCAAAATAGACTCAATTTGAAGGTGTGTCAGATATCGCGCTTTTACTGCTGTACATAGTAAGATATATCAACCACATTCCAGTGAAGGGATGAAGGATAGAACAGTGAAAATTGATCTTCTCATTTTGAACGTAATTTGAAAGCGTGAGCATCCTAATCTTTTCTTGGCACCCGCCACGCATTCGGAGTGGCATTTGAATGCGATTCTGCTATTCAGTTGATTCCCAAGAAGATGACCCGCTGCGCAAAAGAGTGCACTTTTTTTCTGCATGTACTCTGTGTTTCAGAAAACCAGAAGCGCGTCGAGTGCAGACCACACACCACAAGTGACGACGGCCTCCAAGTAAATCTGGTAACTAGTGATTCATAGTGATAGCTGATAGTTGGTAAATGATAGTTGTAATTAGTGACAACTGATAGAATACAACTGCAACAGGCTAATCATTTCATTGGCAGAAAACATTTACATTTTGTGGAGGCCGTCGTCACTTGTGGTGTGTGGTCTGCACTCGACGTACTTCTGCATTTGTGAAACAGGGGTAGCAGTATCTGGTCTTATCGAGCATGGCATCTTTTTGTTGGTTTCTCTTGCGCCCTCATGCCTTACCATTCCATTCCTAACACCGCCTGCATGTCAGGAGCACAACGAATCACCGAAATTTCTTTCATTTTACTGTCCATTTCTAACTCCAATTTAAATGTGTCCACTCGTTTAGACCTGTCAACCCAATCTATAGTGTGTCCATCATTTCCATCAGTTGATGGTGTAGTGGGCTGAGATGTTTTCTTTTACCGGAATCATTTGTCACGACGAATTTTTGAATCCCCTCTGTTACCTGTACGGTAGAGTGGCAACGTGTTGTGTCATGTAGAAGCAGTGCTCATCAGCCTCATCGATCTGATCCCTCATGGCGAGTTTTGCCATACCAAAATCGGCGATACGTAAGGTGCAGTCGCTGTTCACCAACAGGTTTAACGGTTTCAGATCACGATGAGCGATGCCGGCCGTGTGGAGGTACTGAAACAGAGAAACACTTGTTATGGGAACAGAAAAATGAAGTCGTCTCACTGAAACGCTCCTGAAGTTGTCTTGAGAAATTAAGGTGAGCCTCGTCAATTGTTATCACTTCCATTTTCTCTCGCAGACAAGTACCTTTATGCGCAATGACAGTACACTTTTCAAAATGTTCACTTTGTTTCTTACCAACAGGTACGATTACTAGTCAATTTAAGCTTCAGGGATCGGGAAACAGGAACAGTTGTCGCCTTTTATCCTGCTCCACCTTGTTCCAGCTGTTCATAACGTGGTTCCTCCATGAACAGCAAACTATCGCCTACGTCCCAGCATTGAACCTAATGGGCGTCGTCGTTTGCAGTATCTTTTAAGACAGTATTAGCGCCAAGTAGCGTATTAGAAATAACAATCATGCGAACTGGTTATTTCCGAGAACTTCCGAATTTCGGTAAGACCAGCCATTACGTCACAGATTTCGAGAGCATCAAAGTTCATGAGATTTTCCATGTCAGCTTGCTAGGTGCGAGAGCTCTTACTTAAATGCAATAGCGGTCAAAAGCCATCGCCGAGAAGATTTTTTTCCCTTATGTTTTCGTGCTTGAAGAAATCCTTCACACACTGATATGTTACATCTTTCGATGTTTTTGAAAATTAATTTTCAAAAATTCCCACTCAAAAGTAAAATTTCCAGCTAATTCTAAATCTTATTTTTGGACAGAAATACAGGAAAAGTCATTGAAGCGAATGCTTTTGATCATTACTGTATGTGTCCAAAAATTGGATGAGGTAATCGATCCAGCTTTTCTACTCCATTTGATCCCGAAACTGGAGCATCTTCAGAGCAAAGCTAGGGAAATATCACGAAATATCAAATAGCTGATCTTGTACTAGAAAAAATCGGCTCTTCCTAGTCAAGAATGCTCCTCATTCTTCTCTACAGGTTGCAAAAGTCCAAGCTTGCGTTTGTACTTTTCTTGTAACGTCTGACCTTGAATGAATAACTTTGAGATTCCTTACGCAGCGAAATGTCTACCTGTCAAGAAGTGCAAAATGGTTGATTTAATGCCCTTCTCTTTAGATTTTCGCTTACCTTAGCAGAAACGTCTTATCCAGAGGCCGTGTTACGGTAACATCAAGACAGCTCTAGATGCTCCCTGAACTTCAACGTGCGAGAAAACACAAAGCTAGCAGGGTCAAGCGGGGCTGTCAAGAGAACTTTAACTGTAAATTGTGCAGATTAGCTCAGCAATTTCAACCGAAGCATGTATATATGTAGCCGATTTGAGTGGTCGACCAAACCTTTAATGGTCGAGAGCGGCCAGTAACGACGATAACCCCGTTATATCTCCAAAAGTCCGTCAAACGAAGGACAGTGGGTTGAAACGGACAAAAATCTGTCAAGAATGTGGGATTTCCGAAATCCTGAACTCGCGAGGAGTTTTTCCAGCTTCCACACTTTCGAATTCTCCTAGGTAACCAAAAAGAGACCCTTTGCAAAATGGGATCGCCTATTTTGAAAAGGACAAGCGGACTGTTGACTCTGGTCAGTACCTGGCAAAGGGAGCGACACCAGCACATCCACGGTCGGCAATTCACTAGCACCTAAAGTCAGGTACGAAACACAAGTGTAGGGCTCTTAAGCAGTATTCCCTGCATAACCAAAGGGAAGAATATTCAAAATGCGCTTCGAACCAGTACATACTTGATCTAGGAAAGCAATACATATGTAAATCACAATCGCCGAACGTGTCACCGCTGATTCTGTTTTGCATAGCATTTTCGGGGATATCTAGTACGTATTCAAATGATCGTAAGCTGTGAAAACCCCGGATGTTGAGTAAGAACACAATCCCGTCCGTAACCACACCGTTAGAGGAATGAATTTTCTTACGGTTACACTGTTCCTGAATTTTTTGAACCTGAGAACTATACTTTTAAAAAAATAATGGTGCAGTCGCAAGTTTCCCCAGGTCATTCCATTCTTCAATTACAAGTATTTTACACAGACTCTTATAGAAAAGATTTACGTTTTTGAACATAATTCTCGTTACTTTCGAATTTTTGTAGAAAAAAATTTGATAATTTTATGTATTTTTGTAAAGGTAATACTGCGTAGCCATCGCCTTTCAGATCGGGAAGTGTTGTGAGGATCTACCCATTTTTTAAAAAATACTCTTCCCTTGAAGTTCTCGTCCTTTTATCTTTCCTCATGAAGCTGTTGATTCGCAACTCCATCGCAGACTTTCTCAATCCTTTTCCCCAGTTTTCAAAAATAGAATCAAGAATTTTTTTCTATTTTATACCCGTAAAATACTAACCCGAAGTCCCATCAACAATTGATATAGGAATCTTCTGATCAAGTAGTCGTCGAGTTCATTTGAACAGCCGTGAATGACCTGATGAAGACTGTATTCCATGAGATCCATCACTGAAATCGTCGGATTTCGCGAAATCAATCAATATGAGACATTCTAAACGTTTTTTGATAAACCATACCAGGCACGATATTGACTCGTGCAAAAACGTTACTATCTAGCCCTATTCGCTATCATGACATACAAAGAAATTAATGATGAGTGGAAGATAAAAGGCGAAGTTTCTGTTGTGTGACAGTTAAAGCTTACCCAAATAAACATTGATGCCTAATGGTCCTCTCGTACGAAAAATATCTCTCATTGACACGATGTTATCATGGTGTACATGGCGTAGTACACGAATTTCACGCAATGTACGACGTGCCAGAGTTGGTGTTGCTGACGCGTGCCCAATCTTCTTTATGGCAACCTAAAACTATTTCATACACTATATTTTGGGATACATAAGTACTTGTACTAAAAGTGTTACCCTGCGCCCTCCGCTATTCCTAAGTACAGGTCAAAATGTACCGGGAAGAAAAAGCCGAATTCTTTGACACTTAGGGCAACATACGCTAGCGCTAGAGATAATTTTCGTTTCTAAAACAACAACGAAGATTTTAAGTTTTGAAAAATTCAACCTGCAGCCGCCGTAACGCTGCAATCGGAAACCGGAACATCGGAACACCGGCCGAGTTTGCGCATAAATTAGCCTAATCAAAGGTTGACCTAATTTTCTCGCTGCTCCCATTTCAGTCAGTTTTTCAACCTTTTTTCAACAGGTTTTTTCCAAAGGTGCGAAAATCGGAAATTTGGTGATTCGGTAATTTCATGAAGAAACAGTCGGCTTTTCGAGCAAACTCCTCTGTTGCAGTTATTTTTCTGGTCCCTATCTCCGTTTTTCCTCCACGAGCGATCAACAGGAAAATTTGAAAGAGTTGGGAACACGTTTTTGAAATTCCGTTCGAAACCCGGTACACTGGAATCAGACCGATGACGATAACTCTTTGTGCCAGACTGCCTTTTCACAATTTCACAGATTTGATTTTGAACAGTCGATCTAGAGTACCACTGTGACTCTTGCTGTGTGACTGATCAGAACCAGTACAAGTAGCGAATTCTTCAAGCACTTAGTCACGGTGGCCGCCCTTCTACAGGTTTCCGCTGACTAATTGGAGATCTCTGCCACGTAAATTTACTGATGCGATTTCATGCGGAAGAAATGGACGCTTCTTGTTCAGAGCGCAAAATGAGAACATTGGATTTTCTTCTGAAAAAGAGCTTCCTATACGAGTTTCGTCATCCGCGCAGCTTTTTTCGACCCAGAGTTAGCTATGGGTTCAGGATTCGTCGGAACAACGAGACGTTAGTTAGGAGGTCGTTGGAGAAGAGGCCAGCGGAATTCTTCAAAAAGGTTTCCTGGAGACGTTCGATAAATATCGAGGAATTTATCTATTCTTGAAGTTCCATGGAGTGAGTTGAAGTTGGTGAATGAGATGCAGATGCTGAAGTTGCAGGATAGTCACCGATGGAGGTCTTAAATACACCCACTGTTAGGAGGGATAAAATTAATCGTGAAAAGTTCTTTGACGCCACAACCCACTTTGTTTAACGCCTCTCCTCACCACATTTCTGAGCACAGATATGAAAATGTTTTCGTAATTCGATTCGAAAACTTAAATGCGTCACGTTAGTCATACGGTTGATGACTCGAGGTTTTGATATTACCCAAAGGCGACTAGTCCATGAGGAATGATGGAATGGGGAATTGAGACTTTGATATGTTCCTTTCTGGAAAGTGCCAGAGTGCAATTTTATTCCATCTATTTTGCCTGCTTGGGGTGTCGCTGCTTCGATAATTTGCTCTGCCATCCACTACCTTCATATTTTCTCACCCTATTACACCAACGTTCACCTTTACACTTGCTGTGCTCTTATTCCCTTAATGAGACCTTCGATGAGAGCGCTCAGGAGTGGGAGTTAAAGGCAAAGCGAAGCTCTTTGTTTCTATCATCGATAATTCAACATGTCACTCCTTTTGTCGAAGCCTAAGCCTTAAGAAGAGCATTACCTATTGCATAATCGAACTTGAGCCCTATGATCCTTAAACAGTGATCGCGATGGCTGGAGAGCGTGCAGTTTAATGACGTCATTGAAAGTAAGGGGAGGAGCCATGAGACACGAGTCAAGGGTCTTACCCAGATCCCAGCGCAGTGTGTAGTCTAGTCCACCGCTGGCGTCATCCAAACCGCTCCGCCCTCCAGCCATCGTGATCGGTGACTTTCAGAACTTCGACAGTAAAAAAAAACACTGATTTCGGTGTCGGACTAGAACCGCTACCTAATGCGCTTCGCATCAATCACATCTCCTATCCTAAACAAAAGTGGACCAGCGATTATTCGTGAAAGTAAAAAGCAGTTAATTTCTGTGGAGGAGGGGGAGAAGGAGAAGGGGAGCGGTTTCCAGGGAACAAGTTTAAGACGAAGTTGAAAATTGGAAATTTAAAAGGAGCCTGAGCTGAGAAGAAAATCAGAAACAAGCTCAGAACCGTGAGTGATTTCAGGCTCTAACGAATTCGAAGAAACTGAAACATCAGTCTGAAGGCTTGAAGAATCACTCCCAGTGAGCCGTTGTTAGGGCAGTCTTCGCGAAACTAAATCATATGCCTTCTGGAGCCGAAGTGATGTGGTGAAGCGCAAAAGTAGTCTAGTGGCAAGTGGCGTCTCTCACCAGAGCTAGGCCAGGTTATCTAATCCCGATCTCTCCTAAGTGAATTAAGCGCTTTCTCTGAGGTCGATTAATTGGCAACGCATTTGTTGTGAAAAGCGGAACATGAATTCGCAACTGCTGACCCTTCAAGCCACTGTGTAGCTAAACTTCCAAACCGTAACCTAGGTTCTGAATGGAAGCAGAATACGTGGCGCCGCAGGCCAAAAGCACTTAATCAACGCCAAGTGCTCAATGCTTCTGGCTTTTTATTCCATGTCCAGTTTCCTGTTGTTTGCCATGAAACAGGGTTTTCTCACGTTTTCTTTCCGATGTTGTGATTAATTCAACCTTAAACTATGTATACATAAATATAATACTATTCATCATCGTTCACCTTTGTGATACCACCATCGCTGGTTGTTTCTTCGGCTTCGCAAACGATTCCGAACGCTCCCGCTCCAATGCTCCGAACTGGTTCGTATTTTTCGGCAGCGGTACCAAATTCAAAATCGAGATGCAATTGACGACGTGCCAAATCGTCTAGCACCCGATTGAATCCCGTTTTTGCCGCCGGCATTGCGGGATCTGAAATAGAATCGAGTATTTGACTTTTTTCCAATTTTCCGCCATAATTGGCACTCACGCTGGATCGCCTAAAAACACTACAAATGAAACTATCGCACTGAAACAGCGGTGCAAAAGTGGGAACAAACTGGAAGTTGCAAAAATGCAGGAACAGAGGAAGAGACGAGATTCTGAGTTGATTTTACTGGATGGAAGTATATGAAAACTGTGATGAATTGTTTCTTCTCTCTCTCCTTCTTTCTTCGAAATCTTTGGCGAACGTTATTTCTCCTTACTCTTCCCTTTCCCCTTTCCCTACCCAGTGGTGTGGAGAAAGAACGAACAACTATAAAACTGACAGTTTAATAGCACGAAATTGTGGCTCCACGAGGAATGTGTCAAGTGCCCATAACAGCGTGACGCGGGTGGCAGGCCATGTGGGCTGCCAGCGAATAATCGCCTATGTCTTTTTTGCGTATCTTTGATGTTAGAATGATTAAGGTCTTGAAGATTACTGAACTCAATTTGTTTTTGTTCATTTACTACACCGAATTATCGGATGTGAAGCGAGGGTGAGGCAAATAGCGGCCGTCCTCCAAAAAGGGAAAAAGCGCTGAGATGAATGTGTAAGTTTGTCAATAAGTTGGTGAATTCGAGAAATGGTAAGGAGAGAGAAAGTAAGAGTTGTAGGAGGAAACGTTTGTGCTATCTATTCCACCTAAAGCAACTACTCAGCTGTCAGTACTAGAGTAAGCTGAACGATCGGTACCTGAAGCTTCCCTCAAACAGATTCAGGTATACTTCGAAAGGGTAGTGCTACCCAAGCACTCTAAGCGTTAGTAGAGGTGTGATGATACGCCGAATTCAGGCTAGGCCACTTATGTACTGAAACATAGATGGATTAAACTCATTAGGTAAGATGTACTAAAGGTTACAGTAGTAACCGCTGACAGATTGATGGCATCCCGAGATTACGGAAATGAACTCTGTGCATGTATTTGCACTGCGATAAACGTACCATCCAGCTAATACAATGGTAACCCGTAGGATTTATGTAAATATCCGTGAACGTAAATGTAACAACGCGTACATAATGCTAACATGTCGCACAACGCTCGGCTATTTTAATCCACAATCCTGACACGGCCACACGAGGATTTCAGTCATCGCACGCGGCAAGGCCAGAAATGCCGCACGCGGCCACATGCGACAGCTGTACGGTAAACATCATTAGCTTTGATGTCATAGAGCTATAACAACGGAGAAGAAGACCTTTAGTTCTGAGGTGATACATAGTAAGCACTGATAAGGTAAATTCAACCAAGAAAGGGCTATACTCAAGAGCAACTAGGTCACTACCATTTCCATTGCAATTTACCGTTACCCTACTGCGCCCTGCGCTTTCTCTTGGCTCCTAGCTATGAAAATTTCTGAGCCCATACAAAACCACATTTCCAAGAATATTCGAAGAGCGCTACACTAGAAGTTACAGAGTAGCTTATTAGCAAGCTTTCAGGCATAAGCCCTTCTTCAGGTCGGCTGAATCTTGAATTTAATAATTTTTTTAAATCTTAAATTTATCTAGCCCTACAAGATCCATATCAATGAAACCCAGGGGCCTACTATTTCGACTTTCGGAAATGCTAATTACATTGAAGTCATAACGATGGAACAGAAAATGAGAAAAAACCTTCAACTTTTGTATAGTAAGTGGAAATAGTTCCAAGTAATGGATGAGAAGTATTCGGTTGGTTAGGTTCTGCCTAAAGTCTTTGTGGTATGACACTCTATCAGAATGAGAAGAAGGGAATGGAACCAGTTACTTGTCGTGAGAAACAATAAATAACGAGTTAATAAAGACATCAGTCCTCCAGGAGTCCGTTAATGAACGGGACACGTTTTCTGTAGAAGGGGTGGGAGAGAGGCGAGGCGTTGACGAGCGGGTTTCGAAGGTTGGCCTTTAAGGGGTGGGGGGCTTACGCTATCTTTGTGACTCATTGACGATTAGGTTCACCGCCTGTTCAAGAACGGGGAACGCGGAGTTCAGAGACAAGGACAGCCGGAAATGAGAATCAAGCAGCACTACCGATAAAAAATTAATCATAGACTATGTCTTCATTGGGCTAAGAGTTTTTCATTTAATTGAACTTTATTTCGAGTCTTCCGCCATAAAGCGCTTGAAATCTCTCAGCAGTAGTTAGGATGGTGGAAACTGAAGCCGTTCAGGTGGTCTTATCACTGACTTCATTAGGAGGTTCAGAAAAGTGAAAGGACAAGAATAACAAAAAGTTCGATCAGTTCAAGTGTTGGTGTTGATAAGCGGCTTTGCTGTAAGCCAGCCAGCGAAGTGAACCAAAAAACCGCTTCGTAAGAAACGTAGGGAGTTATCGAAAAAGAAGGTTTTAGCACCATTCGTTATCATACGACGTCGGCAAAAGACCACACAAAGAAACCACCGGCGTGAAATGACCGGGAATAGGCGATCCTGATCGACTTGACACTATAAAACGAGGCTTTAATGCGTTTTCAAAACTCTTATTCCCGCGAATATTAATGGGTTGGCACTTACTTTCAGTGGTTCACAACTTTAAGGGTAATTTCAAACAATAACGACACGCCGCAACTGGTGTCGTAAGCCGTTTCACTTTCTTCAAAGGCTTGCCGATTCAGAGGAAATTGGGGACTGGAAAAGAGGAAGACCATAAAAATGCTCCCTGGAAAGGAAGCGAACGCAGTAGGGAAATTGAATTCACTTGCAAATCCCAGTTTTGAAACTTTTGCAAGGGTTGCAAGTACAATAGGAACGAAGAGTATTTTGCGCGTAAAATTTAACAACTTTTTAAGATAAACAAAGTGGCGAAAATGCCATGAAAATCACAACGAGAATTCGTCGATTATTTAGGGCTTCCCCGAATGAATCTCGATACTTTGTGAATTAAAGCCGAAAAATACCCAATTCGTTTTCTTACTCATCAGACATCTGCCAAAAAAGAGCTTCGACTTATCGTAATCGTTAGCACAGGCACCCTTGGAGCGAGAGGTGCGGGTTCGACGGGTCCTGGGGCGAAGTGTTAAACCCATAACCCAGCATTTTCGTGAAACCAAAATATATCTACGGCAAAAGCCAATGTTTCATTCATTTCTGAAGACCCAGTGTTTTTTACACATAAAATACGAAAGCTGAGGTCGCGATGGGAGAACCAATTTCAACACACTAATGCATGTGTGCATCACCGGGTTTACACGTCAGCACTGATCTCTCGAATAAACAATTATCGGTGTTTTTGAGACTACCAGCATTTACTGAAACGGTAATTTGTGGAATCTGTCGTGGGTATACACCTCTAATTTCGACGGATTTATCATTCGGTCATTGATTTGCGGATCTATCGGATCACCGACGGATATGTAGGGTATAGTGAGGATTAACGTGTGTGATGTGTGCCCAAATTGGAGTAAGCGTACATTTGTTGAGTAGGGTTTGTATTTTTCATGAAATCCCCGACTAGGGAGGCGTTTAAACGAGCGCTTATTACAGTTCTGCATTACTTACACGTGCGAGTCATAGTAGTACAGCATCAAAGTGGAAAGCGTAAAACCCCTAGAAGATAGGCAATTTTTGAGCAAAAATCCAACAGCAACAAATCGAAGGGGTTCTGAATTGTGGGACGTGTGGTTGTTGTTGCAGATCTTCCTATGCAAATATCGCTTAGCACACAATAGCTGATGCATCATAGAGATACTCACTAGGTTATTCCTAGGTCTTTAGTGCCACCCAAACGTACGTGAAATATCCGTAAAAGGCCGTGAACGTGATTGAAAGGGCAACGAAAGTAGAGGGATTGCACCATGACAAAAGGGAAAGTGCACAGATTCAGTCAAATAAATGAGTGAACGATGACGCAAGCAAGTTTGCTTAAAGGCAAAAATGGAAAGAGTGGAAGGAAAAAGAGACATTGAAATGAATGGCATGAAGAGGAACAAGCCGAGGGAGGAAGCGAGTCCGCAACAGCAGGAAAACGAGTGACTGAGGTCTGGCTCTACTAAAAACACGAAGGTGGCAACTACGAAATCTCCAGCCGGTCTGCGCGCACACTGAAAGTGGATTTTCACAAGGAACAGTGGGAACCCGTTAGCTGTTCTATGAATAATAACTGGCAAAAAGTTGTCAAGCAAAAAAGTTGCGTGTTCTATTGAAGGCACACCTGGCTAAGGACCAGATATTGAGCCAGTTTGGGTTGTAATAGTAGATGGTAATTTAAGGTATCCCATATGTCATTTCTACTACTACTTGTTTATTCTCCATGAAAGCCTATGATTCTTTCATGCCTTATCTTAGACTAGTTTTATGGAAGTGAATCATGAAAAATTACCAGGGGGTGGGTGAAGCCTGCGATAGACACCCACGCAGAGTTGATGACAAGAACATCTATGATGGAACACCAAATTAAGGCCTTTAGAACAACACACACTTCCGAACATTGCGATAGGGTCACGTGGTACTTCCAAAAGTACAATGTACTGATTATCTCAAATAAAGGCGAACTGCAGCAACTCAGCTGACTGAGATCATCAATGAATTACGTAATTAAGAAGCTGTCACGATTTTAGTGAACAATTGACAGATTTACAGTTCAGAAATATGCGAAAAAGTACAAAATATTATCACTTAAATATTATGAATAATATCCCTTAAAGAAGAGGGTAAAGAATAATACATGAAAAAGTTTCGTGTTTAAAATTTATAAAAAGTTAGAAAAAAGTTATGTTAGTTTGAGATATAGTCAGTTATATTGAGTTTATAGTAAAGTTCAGAAAAGTTTATAATATACAAAAGTTTCGCCAGCGCTCTTGCGATAAATGAGAAATATTACAGTGATAAACAATATACATTCTGAATTTTTACTTCAATCGTTTCTGAAATGGTCTAGTTTTTACGCAACTTTTATTTATTATGTATTTAATTCATTTTTATTTCATTACATTTATTATTTATCTAATTTATTCTTATCT